ATTCCCCCAGCTGGAGACTACTAACACAGGATTTGTTGTGTTTCTGCACCTGCAGATATGCAGGTGATGTAGTTTCTGGTCATGGCCAGAAATGATCTCCTGATAGCCACAGATGTGCTCACTTCTAAGACTTTGCTTATAGAAGAAAAGAGGTGGGGGTTATTTTTTTCAATGTCATCAAATGCTTGTTTAAACTCCTGACTAAAAAATTCAAGAATCATTTGGGCCACATGAAATGTACCTTACCCATTCTGTGAGGATTTCAGGGTATATTTCTATTCCCTCACTACCATCAGTCTAAAATGTTAAAACTTGTAGAGCACAGCATAATAAAGCAGCTTGAGCCTGAGAGCTCTGCCAAGCATAACATCAAATCTTTCAGAGTGAGGTTAGATAAAGCACCAGATACACAGCAAATTCCTGATTGAAATAAAACACCAAACATTTCTCCTTGGCTGGCAGCAGGTGAATTCACAGAAGAGGTTTCCTTATTCACAGAAGTTTCTTTTATAGCAAATTCAAGGGCTTCCCTGCTTCCCAGGAAAATTCCGTCTTGCAATATGTTTAAAATGTTATCAGCTTGGAAAAAAATAACACTGCTTTAAACTGATGGGAAAGGAGCCCATTGGCTCTAAAGTTACCATCCCCGGGCCGGGCACTCTGTGCTGTTTGGGGCCTTTGTTCGGGCTCAATCAGCCGTCGAAAATCAGCGCTCCCGTCACTGCCCGTGCTGGGCGGGATGAGCAGGAGGGTTTCCCGCAGCCAGGACTGGGCGCTAATTACCTGCTCAACCCCCTTGTAAATACCTGTCAGAGGAGGGAGAGCTCAGCTCCGGGCTGAGAGGGGATTGGGGCAGCAGGACCTCGCTGGGACTCCCCCTGTGCCCCCCACGGCAAAGACATCACCACAAATAACATCTTCAGCTCCTTCCTTCCTTCCTTCCAGCACCTAACAAAAATGTGTTTTCCAGATCCTAAAGCTGAAGGTGGGGGAACCACCAGCAAATCCCCGTCCGTATTAGTACCTTTGCAAAGCATAAAAGTCTACAGGTCGTTTTTACCGAGGACTGGCATTCACAGTGGTTGTTATAATCCCTAAGCCTGAATAGGATGGGGAAAGTGACTGGGGGTCCCTGGGTCTGCAGTCACTGAAAGGGAAATTTATCTTCCAAACAAATATCCAAGAAATAAATGTGGTGCTCCAGAAGCCTTTATTCTTCTGTCTTGCACCCTCAAAAAAAAAAAAAATAACACAGAGATCCTTTGGAAAAAAAAAAAAAAAAAGATAAATGAAAAAAGTTTTCTGATAACCACTGGAAGTTTTTCCTGTCACAGCAGGGAACGCCATGGGGGAGCGAGAGCCTCTGCCCGTCAGCAACAAACACACAGGGTGGCTTTGCTGGGCTGGGCTCCTCACCCCGACATCAAAATAAGCCTTTCATGGGCTGTTTCCTGGGGAAAGGGTTTATTTTTCCATCCAAACGGGAATGGTGGGAGGCTCAGCCGCAGCCCCCCGGCCGGGAGCGCAGGTGGGTTCGGTCTGTACGCGGCACTGTGGGACCAGGGACCGCTGCTGCCAGCAACGAGGGCAAAAGGAAGGGAAAGGGGAGGCGGGGGTTGGGGGAAAGCTGAAAATTTAGCAGGAGCAAACAATCATCCCGCGGGCAGCGGTAAATAAAATAACAGCAGCGGGGTGATTTGCAACCATGTAACGGGCTTTTGTCCGGGCCCATTTCTCGCCGCCGGGAGGGTTTCTGTGTTCCCGCTCCGCAGGGTCCCGATGTTCCCCCTCCGGCTACAAAGGCCGGGGGCTGCGGCCCCTCCCCGGCGCTGCCCCGCTCTGCCCGGCCCCGCTGCCCCTCCTCCGGCAGCCCGGGGGGCTCCGGGCCGCGGGCCCTCCCATCGCGGGGCTGAAGGGCTGCGGTGGGATTCGCCACCCTTAAAAACAGCTTCTACTCATCTTTTTTTTTCTTCCTTCCCAGTTTACATGAAGCCCGTTGGGCATTTTTATTCCCTGTTGGAAAGTTAGAAGTATTTATAAGTCTAATTAGAGGCATTTATAAGAGTGATTAGTGTGAAGCATCAGCGCTGGCGGCATTCTGTGTGTGTCTGTGTGTGTGTGTGTGTTCACACATGGATGCAACACTGCAGTTTACAATTTGTTTCTGTGTCTGAAAGCTGTGAAATGCCCTTAATTCCCCCGGCACCGATGGCAACAGTGGGCATTGGTTTGCTCTGCGCAGTGGCTCAGCACCACACAGGATCACATCTCTGGGGAGGGGTTGTGTCTCCCTGATGCAGGAGCAAGTGCCTCAGCAAAACAAAAAAATTAAATGTACAAAATTAAATTTTTTTTTAAAAGGGAGAAAAAGCATGTATGTATTGAAAGATGCTGTTAGACCTGTAGGACAGAAAAACATGGCCCCACTCCAGCCTGCCCACGGACTGCCTTGCAATCCCTCACCTCACAAGTTGTCTTTCCCTCTTTTTCCTTTGCTGCTGGGTATTACCTCCATCCTCACCCTCCCTGTACCTGGTTTTGCAGCACAGCTGCAGATGTCTCTTGGGGGAGAGGTTCCCACACAATCTGCTCTGGGGAGCAAAACCATCAGGAAACGAGCTCCAACTCCAGCGGGGGCTGTGGGGCTGCCCCGGCGTGAGGGGAGCCGGAGACCAGCCAGGCCACAGGGCCTGACCCCAGCGCTGAGCCCCGGGGCCACCGGGATTCTCCTCTGGCACCGGGCATGGCACAGCCAGGGGAACACCGGGATTCTCCTCCGGCACTGGACATGGCACAGCCGGAGATGGCTGGCAGAGGGAGGGTGCCTGGTGCAGCACAGGGTGCTTCCAAAACATCCATGCTGCAAACCTCGGTGCTTGCAGCCTAAGCCACCGCCCTGAGCGTGGGGCAGCCCCACAGGTCGCTCTGGATGCAGTGAGCATCACCCAAACTCAGCCTGCTGAGAGCACCCCCGGAACCACAGCCCGACCACCAGCCCCACTGCCACAAACCGAACTGTCTGACAAGCTTTTGAGGCAGGTTTAAGCCCTGAGGTCCTGCTCAGGCACAGGACAGAGCACTGTCCCTCTGCTCAGACTCCTGGGACAAGTGTCAGTGTCCCTGTGTCTCCCCAGGCCCAGTGACAGCCCTGCAGGTGCCCTGCCAGTGCTGCTGCCTGCAGAAACACCTCGGGTTAGAGCTGCTTAAAATGTCTTGAGACAGCTCCTCTGAGTTCAGGCCCTCCTCGACCAGGGATTTCTTTTTTCTAGTCATCATGTAAACAGAATTAAAAGGTCAGTGCTGCCCCCACATGCTTACAAAAGCTTTTGGTTGGAATGGCTTGAGAAAGATAGGGAGATATGTAGGGAGAACTTTAATAATGTATTTGTTTTGCATACCTGTGGTCTGTTTCCCTGTCACAAAACAAACAAAAACTTTTCCTTGATTTCTGCTTTCAAAAACTTATGTGAAAAATATTTTCAGATCTACCCACATCAATTTCAGAGCTATCTTTGGAGCATTTTCTGCTAAAACAGTCTGTAGTACAGCTCCACTGACACATAGGGATGGTTTAACATGACTTTTTAGTATTTCTTTTTGGGGAGATATTAATAAACTGATGGTCCCCAAAATCGCCTACAAAACAATCTTTTTTTTTTTTTTAATTTAGTTTCCCTGTCTATGCACATGTAGTGATTATCCTGAGGGCAGACAGAAATTGCTTTTTCATTTTTCCTGTGTCCATGTCTGTACAGCTACAGAAAACCCCATACAAACTTGAAGGTGAAACACAAAAGATGTGAGTTACAATGAACTCACTTTACTCCAAGTAGTAGCAAGTGGCCATGTGAAGGGATGTACAAAAAAACCAAGCTATTTTTCTGTCTCTGGTCTTTTCAGTAACTGGGAGGTTAAGGTATCCCTCCTGGCAGGGGGTGAGACTCAAATGTCACACTGAAGAATGACGTTGTGTGTGTCCCCTTAAAAACTTTGAATAGAAACTAGTTTAAATTTGAATCTAAAAAGATAAAGTGAGCTGGGTTCAACCTGGAACTGGCTAAAATGTTTCATGTTGCATGTTCTAGAGGAAGAAAAAACAAAAAGCTACTTTTTTTTTTTAATCTAAACGTTGCTTTTGAAAATTTTCAGTGGCAAAATATTAAAACGCTGCTTTATTTTATAACAACAGACAGTTTCTTTCACTTCAGAGTTACAGCAAGAGCCAGACCCTGCAATGGGGTGGAGTTTCAGCTTGGAAATCCCCTGGATTTCTGGCTCAATTTGTCCTTGTGCACAAAAACCAGGCACCACAGCAAATAAATTTGTTTCAAACAAGTGATGTGTACCCAAGCCCACCCTAGATGTGTGGGCAGGAAGGATCAGGCAGGATGTGGGCTGCTGCAGAGCAGCACTGCCCACCCAATCTCCATGGCAATGAGGGTCTCACCAGCTGGGTCAGCCCCAGCAGCCCTGGAGGTGTCCTGGGGTCTCCACGGGCCTGCAGCAGGTGGCAGCCCCAGCCAGGTCCCCGCTGAGCTGGCAGAAAGCCATTCCTTGTTCTGTGGGACACAGGGAACCATAGGAAGGTGCTGGAAGGGACGAGGGGACAGGGAGTTGCAGGTCCAGGTCTGTGTAGATGTTTTTCGGCAGTCCACGCAGGAAAGTTTGCTGCAATAAATTTCATTCGGTCTTCGTTTTACTCTTTGGCAGAAACTCATTTGAACACATCTACTAAATAAATCTCTCTTCTTGCCCAGGCTTCTTTAAGCTTTAAATGTCCTGAATAGGAAATCTCCCAACTTGGAATACAGGTACTTCATGGCTTCAGCAGAAAAAAAATTAAACCAAATCACTGAATTCAGATAGTACTGAGACCAGACGTGAGGTTATAGAACAGATCGACTTGGGGTAACAATAAAACTTATGATCCTGCTTTCCTAATTAGTCTGGCTGCATGGGCACCAGAATCAGAGCAAATGTCATGAAACCACACCAAAAAATAATACAAATATATTTTAATATTGTCTGATTAGAAATTCCATTTTCAGATATATAACAAATACAAATGGCATTATTACTCTGTAAACATCTTCTCTCAGACCATTTGAAACCTCAATGCAGATTTTTAAATACTTTTTCACAAAGAAAATAGGGTAGAAAAAGAACAAATACTTACAACACATTTAAGAGAAGTCCTAAAATTAATTTCAAAAGGACATGACTTTAGCATAAAAATACATTTGGAGGAAGAGCATTTTTTGTTTGTTTAGCAATCCTCAGATTTTTCCAGCAGGAATGCTGGATGGGCACACTGTGTACCATCCCTCAATTATTTTCAATTAGGTAACAGACATGAAGTTACTTTGACTTTGTTATAAACAGCCAGTGGTAGTTCTGAGAAAGGTGTATGAAATGCCAGAAGGAAAATGAGGAGGAAGATGTAAGATGGAGCCTGATCCTGCTAACCCCTGCTCCTCCAAACAATGCTCTTTCTTTTCTACTTACTGTGCAGTCTAAGAACTTCAGGATTAAGTCAGGTCTTAGAACCATAATTCCATTTATTTGTAGAGGCAAACATGCCTTTCGCTTAACATAAATGTTTTTATTTAAAAGGAGGTTGTCAATTTGAAAGCGTTTTAAATTCACGTTTAGGGGAGGCTTTGTGCAGTTTCACAGAGGCCGGGGGATGGGCTGGAGCTCGGCAATTCCAGCACCCGGAGCTGCCCTCCCTCCTCAGCCCTGGCAGAGCTGCGGGAGCAAACACGCCGTGTGTGGATGCAACTGAAAGTTGCGTGTTCACCTGTCACTGAAACTCCTCCTGAGAGCCAGTGTCCCAGCAGAGGTACCAGGACACACAGCGGTGTGCACACCGATGCTCAAATTTGCTGTTTCCTTTTATAGCTTTTTTTCCTCTTGAATTACCTCCTGTAAATAAAGAAGACAGAACAGAACTTGGTTTAATGTTCACATCTTTCAAACAGCATTACACAAGTTACCAGCGAAAAAAAACCCAAAAAAAACAAACTGTTGTAGCAACCTGCAACCTCTTTCTCATATGTATTACCAAACAGCTAATTCTGGTTTGTTGCCTGCAAACCTCAGGTCTGAGTTTTGTTGCATTTTTAAAGCTTAACCAGGCACAGTCAAATCACCCTTTTCGAGGCATTCTTAGTTAAAGAGCATCATATGTAGCCCCTGCAAAGGGCTAAAAATATTCAGCTGTAGTTATGTTTTTTGTTTATACATTTCATCCAGCTCAGGAATGGTGCAAAATAAGTCAGCAGTTGTCATCCCTTTTTTCAAATAATATACTTTCTAAAATGAGAGTTTTTATAATAGTTTGGATTCAGCTAATGTATGAATATCATTCATTCATACATTATTTTTCAAAGACTGGGCTGAGCCATTAAATAACCAAAAATAAGCCATTTTTACCCCAAACTCAGACTTTTTCTCTTAAAAGAGCAGTAGGGCATATTTTTTTTCTCAGTTCAATATGAATCCACTCATTACCCCAATTTCAATTGGCTAGGTATGAAAATCTCAGGATTTACTCAGGTTTTTTCAATGTCTCAAGTGTAAGAAGAGAGTCATGTTACTCATGTTTACCTCTGCCAAACAGCAGCTGGAATATAGACCCTCCAGGCAGAACACTGTGAAGGTATTAAAGTACTAAATGATTCCCAGGAAATTCGTAAAATGTCCTTTTCTAATGATTCAAGGTATTTCTGTGGAGGCAGATTATTTACTATTTTTAGCTTTTCCCAGTGTCTAGCTTGTCTAATTGCTCCTTGTGCAAGTGCTCTGGCCTGGGGCTATTTTTCAGCTCTAATTGCAAAAGAAAGGATTACATGGCTTTGCTTGTGCTGGAGATGGGGCTCAAACCCTCCAAAACAAAAAAAAAACAAACCAAAAACCGCTTCACCCCCCGATTTCATAGCTACCCAGAACATTCACTCAATTTGCTGGTCTCATCTATAACTTCAAACCTGCTGACAACAGGACTACAGGTAGGTACCTGCTGTGTGCTGTCAGGGAGCAGGGCAGTCTGACCAGTGCTGGAGTTTTCCAATTGATGGTTCTCTCATCTACTTACACAGTGCAGCAATTACCAGAGGTGTTACCTTTGCAATTTTCTTTGAAAAGTCATGGAGAGATTCCCATAAAATGCTCCTTGTTGCAATTCTAGTTGAAAATCCTGGAAATGGCATAGAAAAATCAGGCTCTATGCTGGGAATGGACAGTGAGCAGCCAGTTTTGGTTATAAAGCTACCAACTTACCTACCTACCTAAGCCTGGGGAAGGAAAACCAAAATGTCAAGTTATTTTGACTTTGTTCAAAATGCCAAAATGCCACACTGAGATCTACCTAAACTGTACTACCTGAGCTTTCAAAAGAGAAAACAAAACTACTTTGTGCCCAGGTTTAGTTAACACTGCTTTGTGGATGCTCTTCAAGGTGTTTTCATCTCAGTCCACCAGGCTGGCAGAAGCCCCTCTCATTTCAGAGCTTAAAACTCACAGCACAGCTCCTCCCAGAGAGGAGGGAGATGGATCTTCTCCAGCAGAGTGAAAAACCTCAAATCTGTGGTTTTGCCTTGTGGTTGCATAAAGAGTGCTTGCATTTGGCCCAAGCCTGAATTTGCCATTAAAGTAGCCCTTGTCTATAGAAATGTTAGGAGACAGCTCAGGCACCATCACAGCCTGGTACATCCCTGGAAAAAGCAGTCACTGTCATCTCCTGCGAGGGTACAGCACTCCTCCAGAGCAGCAGCTATCTGAAAATAATTTCATTTTCCTGTGATAATACAAACATCAGCACAAAGGCCTGGTCTATGAGAGCAGTTGTGCAACACTCAATAATTTCACATCCTGGTCTGAAATGTTCCACAGGCCATTGGAAGGTCCAAGGCTGAGATCCAAAAGCACCAACGTATTCACAGCTATGCAAATATTAGGAGCTACTGATGTCTCAACATGTGCAATATCTTACATTATATTATAGCAGACTTCACTTAAATTCATTGCCTACTAGCTATAAAGATTTGCCAGAACTTGTGAAAAAAATTAGAACAGATTAAGCCAAATGATTTTTCAGTTATAACACATTTGAGGATTGTTTGAACATTTTACATCTTGGGAGATAGATGTTCCTAAAAGTTCCAGCGGGCTCTAAGTCACTAACACATCTGAGACACTCTGTCCTTGTGCATGCCCTGAGAGCCCTGCGTTTGCTCCCTGCCTTATGCTTGCTCTGCAGCCCATGTGATGCTTTGTTTACCCACTGCACAAGCAGATCATGCACCAGCCATTCCCAGCAGAGTGATTGGGAGTCCACGGCTTTCTTATGCTTGAGTCTGCAAACAGTGGGCACTGGTGTGTTCCCCTCCTTCCCACTCAGCTCCCTTCTGTGTTTTGGGCTCAAAGTCCCAGACTCAGGGACCTCGAGAGAGCAGGACTTGGGAAACTCCAGGAGAGACACTGAGGGCACGAGCGTATTATCAGAAAGAATTTGAGTGCTCCCAGCAGCCCAGCAGCAAATTAGAAAGTTTTGGCTCCCAAGAATGAGTTGTGTTGTTTGTTCCTGCACACTGCAGCTGCTCGTCCCTCTCCCTCCCCACCCCCCTCCTTTGGGTGGTTTATTACACACAAGCTACTAATGAATGGGAGCCGCTGTTTTACAGTACACCACACTTACAGGACTTATCTCTAGGCCTACCACAGATTTGACTGATCAACAGCAGGGCACCACCATCATAATTCTTCCTAGAAACAGGAGGATAAAAAGGGGTTTGTTGGAGGTTGGCTGTGTCTGCAGAGAATCCTGCCTGCAGGGCCTGCTGATGCCATCACTCGCTGCTATGGTCTTTGGCCTAATAAGGTACAGAAACAAAGATTGTTCACTTGTTCAAGAATACTAAAGTACCCAAGTGACGGAAAGTGGAGGCAGCAGGGCACACATCCAAGTGGGATTAAGGCCACAAGTGCAACGTTACAGGGCTGACTGGGTGGCAGAGGGAATATCTGCCTCTGAAGAAAAAAAAAATGCAGTTCAAACATAATTTATAACATGTCACTCACAGTCAGAGGTGGCTGTCATTAAGAGTTAAATGCTGCATTGTGTTCAACGTATTCCGATAAGAATTCTCTAAGCTGCTTATATGTTATCATAACTCATGAATAAGTGGAGCGTGGGCAGGGGAGGGGGGAGAGGCTCTCTGGGGCAGGATGGGACCCAGACTGGGAGGCAGAAATGCTGGAGCAGAGCTGGGCTGCTGGGTCTCAGTGTGGGGTACACTCAGTCTGCACATTCCAAGGACTCCACAGTGAGTCTTAGAGTCTGCCAAGCCCATGGGACTTGTCAGGGTCCAGACTCTGCTTGGACACATCCACCTTCTTTGCTTTTACATACTTCTCCAGTTAGGGAGCCAGGCAGTAGCACCTGGAGGAGAGGATCTAAAATGGTGTGTTCAGGTTCACCTGGTCTACACAGTAAGGCTCTATATAATGGATGAAAAAATGGGCAATGCTGTAGCCAAGCACAAAGCCCCTAAGTTAATACTGCTTATTGGAAATGGAACTGGGAGCCCAACAGAAGAGCAGCAAAGCAGCTTCTTTAGGGACAATATTAAATTCCTCTGACTGACTTGGCAGTTTGGAAGCAGCAGGATTGTTTTCTCTAGCTTAAGGAAACCCAGCAACAGACCCCACTGAAGTTCAAGCGGCTAGATCCGGCCCAATACTACTAAACTTTCCAGGCTTATCAGGGAAATTTTTCCCTACTTTTTCCCTACTTCATTTTGGGTGTAGAGAGAAAAACCTGTGTGAAATAAGAGTTAGAATCATATGAGCCCACTCATTTTCAGAGAATTAATTATAGGAGCCTGCTCATTTGCACAGCTCACTTAGTGCAAATAGCCACTGTAATTCCCAGTTAGAAGCATTTCTCTGGTGCAGCTCATTCAGAAAGCAGCAGTTTGTTTACTCACTGGCTTGGGCTACCTGGATCACGTTACACCTGCTGGGGCTGTTGGTAATGTGGGAGGTTGATTTTAAACTGGTACTGTTGCTTTTATAAAGCCTTTAATGTTGTAGGCTCTGGCTATGTTCAAGATCTCACCCGTCAAGCCAAGGCTTAAGGGACTTTGGGCTGTGACATCCCAGTCCTCTATTCCCCTGTCACTCAAGTCAACAACCACAACTTTGCTGTGGTAGGTGTGGGACAAATATTTCAGTCCCTGACCTGTGCCTGGTCTGACTAAAGACCCAGGGTCTCTGATCTGCCCACACCACAGAAACTCTGCAGCAAGTACCCGCTTTTCTGAGTACTCGTATCTGACCTGCTGCCTCAGGGCTGTCTTCACCTGTGTTGGAAAGCCAGGGGTTGACCACAGTGAGCTCTTGGTATCCAGAGGTGGCTGCAGGACACTGCAGGTGCATGGTGTGTGTGCAGGCACAACAATGCTGCAGTGCATTCGTGTTTCTGCCTTTACAGCTCTGAGGAGCTGATAACCACAGCCCTCTGTCCCTGCAGAGAGCAGACAGTTCCCTGCAGCCACCTCTCTCCAAGGGGAAGGAGAAGATGACTCAGGAATCCCATCCACCCATTCCTCCCCCCCCCAGCCATGGCAGCATCTGGAGCTGCCCACGCAGGGAGGTGAACCCACAGAAACATTTTGGGGGGTGGGTGTCCCCAGGGGGATGTGCTTGGCTGTCGTGCAGCTTTAAGAGCGCAAGTCCAAATCCATTTGTCTGGGTGCAAGTTACAGTAAACAATCAGTAGAACTTGTCAGAAGAAAAGTTAAAATAGATGTAACTGATGTGTGAAGGCGTGTTTTACCCAGCTCTGCTGGATGTGTGAGTAGAGGCAGGTAGTAGATTAACTATGCAGCTCAGAGACCATTAAGGCTTGCAGAGGAACAATTAGACCAGAATTTGCATTTTATGAAATGGAACCTTTTATAAAACTTACAGCACAGCTAATGACAGAGATTTCTTCAAATAAGTATTTCCTTCTAATCTTTGTCATGTGGGGTTTGTAGCATCTTGCCAGGATATGAGAACCTAAAAACATAAAAGGCAATTTTTCAGTAAAAATTAAACCCACTGGTTTATCTTTACCATCTGTGTGAAGTGTAAACAGAGATAATAAATAAATAAATACTGAAAAATACATTTGTTTTAAATAAATGTGAACAAAGGGTTTGACACATCTTGCAGTATGTAATGCTGGTTTTAAAACGTGATTTCAACCACCTGACACATTCAATTAAATACAGAGAACTCTCCAGGTTGTATTTGCATTCTGGAAGAGTAGCTACAAAAGAAAGTGTAAGTGCAGCAAATCATTCTTAAAATAAACTGATTTGAACAGAGAATGAGTTTTCCCTGAAAGGCTGCAGCACCACTGACTTTGTAGTATTACTCAAAAAAGCTGCAAGTATCTTATTTTTCCCCATAAAACAGATCCACTTTGGGATGGGCAGACTGACAGTTTGATCTACCTTCCAGGAAACCATGAGAGGAAAAAAAAAAATCACTTCTAGGAGCACAAATTTTCAGTAAGCACAAATTTTCTTTTTTCTCCAATATTTGGGGAAATTCTTAATGTAGTTCATAGTCTTTAATTTAAAAAAAAAAAAAACAAACACACTCAGCAATAAATGATGGAAGAAAACCAAATCCCTTTTCCAAGCAGTGACACTGCCACTTTAATAGTTTCCCACTGTACTTGGGGTTAGTTGCCAGAGAAGCCTTGTTCAGCCTATTTGGGGGCCCCATGAAATGCTGCAAGCGTTACTGAAATGAGCACTTGTCTTTTGTTGAGCTGCATGCTAGCACCATACAGTGCTGAGCTGATAAATCCACTTTTTCTAACACAAGCATTTTTCAAACAAAACTACCATGAGACTGATGAGTAATGCCAGCTTGCCAAAAAAAAAAAAAAAAAAAAAAAAAAAAGACACACACCCCTCCCAGGCGCTGCTGACACTGACAGCTGTTAAATTCACATATTCACAAAATGAGATGGGTTACATAACTGGAAATTACAAGAGCGACTCACCAGCGAGAGGAACTGCAAAGCAAGGCATGACTGGAGCTCAGGAAGGAATAGATCACACATTTCCATGTGCACTGTCCCACGGAAGGCCAGGATAAAGCTGTGCCTTGAGCACACAAAGGTCGCTGGGCACTCCTCGCCCTGCATCATCAGGCTGCTGGTGGTTTGTTCAGCAGTGGGATTTTTTTTCAGCAAAGTGAAGATGCATGAGGAAAAAGGATATATTAGTTCTGCTATGTATGTTATAACACAAGGGTAGCTTAAAAGCCCAAATGTCACATTTTGCAAGGCATGATGCAAAACCAGTGACTCTAAAAGGATTATTGGCACATCTTGAGCAGCTGAGAGGGCAGTGGTGGTGGTGAAGTGCTGGGTAGAGTTAGGTTTGACAAAACCTAGGTAGCTTTTAATTTGCATCAAATTTTTCACATATATAAGCACTTTGCAAAGATGTTGTTTCTATCATTCTCATTGCACGGCGATAGAGCTGAGCTCTGGATAAGGTTTGGAATCTTGGCTTGCAGGACAGGACAGGACAGGAAGGTCCTGACACACCCCAACACCACATCACCTGCCTTTATTTCAGTATCTGTTTCTACATTGGTTTGGAAACTTTGACAAAAGCACCTGTTTCTGGAAGGGCCATGGAGCAGATGATGGAGGAAAGGCATCATTAAGGGCTCCTGAGGAATGACAGGCTGTGGAGCTGGTGGAACAGCTCAGGAGAAGGAGCAGTGAGGGAAGATGTCAATGTCTGCACTAACTGCCAGGCCCTCATGTGTTGCTGAGATTGCCAGAAAAGAGGTTCTAAAGGGGGCTAATCTGGACATAAATCAAAGCAGAAAACAATGGATGTCTTTATGAATAGCCATAATTTAAAAAATCCAGTAATTAAACCACCATTAACATCAAGCTAAATTTTATACATTCAAAATGATTTATGCTTCGATTTTTTCTGCTCATGGCTGAATTCATTCTTCTTACATAGTAAGAGGGGTTTTGTTGTTATGAAAAATGCATCTAAAAGCTTTTTGTTATAAGCAAGTTTATCAAACAAGAAATGAAGATGAAATGACAACTAAATGCATAAAGTTCCATATACTTTATCATGTTATCTATAATAAACTAGGCTAATGCAAAATCAAGATGCACAGACAAATCAGGAGGAAAAAAAAAAAAGGAACACAGAAATGAATGCTTTGAGAGTGATGTCACCTAAGCTGGTGTGTAGGTACAGTCTGCTGCGTAGGAGAGCAGTGAAAGCATAAACAGAATACTAGATGTGCATTAAGCCACAAACAGAAATAGCTGGGAACAATGGCAAAGTCTGGTTGCTCTTGGAACATTAATGTAAGGAAACATCCTTATAAAAGATGAGACAATAGCAGGTCTATAAATGACAGCCCCGTAGGCAGGGAAGGATTAAGAACTTCCTATAGTTCCTAAAGTATCAACCTATATTGCAACCCTTCCACAAAGGCTGCCATAAGTGCTTTCTCTGAATTAGTCCACCCAGAATAGGAAAAAGCATCAGAATTAGTTTGACTTTTCCTCTGGACACCAGCCACACATTCTCAAGGCAGAGAGGAAGAAGTAACAGCAAGGAGACTCAGCTCTTGTTTAGGACCTTTTGCTGGCACACCTGCAAGTCCCAGTGCTCATTTGTCCCTCCCTGTAAGTTCCAGTGCTCATTTGTCCCTCCCTGTAAGTCCCAGTGCTCATTTGTTCCTCCCTGCAAGTCCCAGTGCTCATTTGCCCTCCCTGCTTCCTCCAGAACGCAGAGACCTCTGGCAGCCCTGATCCAGGCCATGGACACGTGCTGCTCTCTGAAGCTGAGCTTCTCTGTCTCTGCAGAGCACTGGCAATGCAGGCTTTGGACACAAGCAAACACAAACTAGGCTGAGGCTTCAGTGTCCATTTGTCACTTTTATTTTCTTTGTTTTATATTGAAGTGGGGTTTTTTTTTGTTGTTTTGTTTGTTTGCATGAGTAATAAAACCCATTCATTTAACTGGGCATATGTTTAATTTGAAAACATGAACAAAATACCTCCCAACACCTTATGGCCCATGATCTAGGACATATTCCTGTACAGCAAGGATTCCCTGAGCTTTCAGGCAGCAGATTACCCTCAGACTCAGATTTTCTTGAAAACTGCCACATACTCTACTAATAAAAATCTAAATTGAAGACTATGGGCATTATTATTTAATATAATTCCACAGACCAGCCACAGTAAACTTTCAAAGGCCGCAGTGGTTATCAGTGGTCCATAGGACAGGGGCTGGAAATCACAAGAGACTTTGGTGATTCTGCTGGTTTGTCTCTAACACAGCACAAAGCCCATTCACATACATCCCTCTGGTGAAACTCAAAGAACCTGCACTTCAGGGAGTTTTCCAAAAAGTCAAATGAAGCTGTGTGAGCACTTCACTGCACTGATGGGGAAGAAGAAGAATTGTCCACTGCAGCTGCTGCCAACATAGCACCTCTAGGCACTCCAAATGCTTGGGTGTGGATGAACTGAACAATGTGAAGAGGTACAAAACATGCAAGACCAGGACCTGTTCCGAGGGACATTTGTAGATTTGCAGCTGATTATAAATTCAATAGGATCTACAGAAGTCAACGCTAAAGAATTTGCAGCAAGTTCAAGTTCTTAGATCTCCTTGTGGTTGCCTCTGCCAACTATTCCTCATTCCAAACTGGAGGCTTTAGGGCAAATATGGGGCAATTCTGATCCAAAAGCTCCAGTGGAATTGTTCTGTTTTCTGAAGTGATCCCCTGTTTATCAGTAGAACTTGGTTCTTGAGTGATGGCAATTCAAAGCAGATGAGTATATATTTTTTTAAAATTACACAGATGCTTTTGAAAATATTAAAGATTCACCGTCCAGCTATTTACAGTCCTATTTTTAATTTTTGTTTTCTGAAAGACAAGCAAATATTCTGATTCTCACCAAGTGCTGTAAGTTTCATCTTACCAAACTCAGTCACAGAAGTCCTGAATCAACATGCTTCCTAACGAGAATAAATTATTTTCAGGAGAGGTCTGTTAAAAATGACCACCAAAACCCAACTATTATTAGTATTCAGGGCAGAGTTAAATAGTGTCACCATGGATACCTGAATGTGCAGGTGCAGGCCTTAAATAATTTCATGGCAAAATTCAGCCCCATTTCTTACTCCTGGTCTTCCAACCTGCTCTCACCGGAGCAGATTATGATGACCCTATAAGAGGCAGGACCTTGGCCAAAAGCCCATGGGTTTTTGGGTGCTTTCTGCAGAGTAAGGTGTTACTGCAAGAAACAGTTAGACATTCTTGCTGTTGCAACCGGTGGGACCTCACAGCAGTACAATGATGTTCAGCAGAGCTCAGATGCTCTTCCTGAACTGTATTTTATGGCCCCATCTCTGTGCAGCTCCTCCAGCCTTGGGGGAACTGCTCAGCTGGGAAGGGGCTGGGAAGAAAAACATCAGAGCCAGACCCTGGCAAGCACGAGAAGTGTCCGGGCAAGGTTCTCACTGTACAAGTTTTCTAAAACTGGGAATAAATATTAAAGCTATTTTCTTCCTTCGGAGCGGTTTTAAAGTCTGATAGTACTTTCCACCTCAGGAACTGGACTTTGCTCCTCCGTGTAGTTCCACTTACTCATCCAACAACTACCAATTACTCATGTGAGCAATGCACGAGGTTTTGTAGCTGTGGGAATAAAACACAAGAGCAAAACCACTTGCTCAGAAGGGCAAGTTTCTAGATTCAATAACAAAATCAGAACTCTGCAACAGCCCCTCCCTCCCCTATATGATTTGTTGCTTAAAATCTTAAGGGACAAAAATATCATGTTCTCTATGAATATGATCTTAGCAAGATCAATTTGTTTTCTACAAAAATATATAATAAGTTTTGTAGCTTTTCTATCTGTACTGCAAACCAGTAAATGAAAACTCTGTGAAACTCTCACACTTTAATTTCACACTATTCTTAATGTTACCTAATTTCCCAGTTTAAAAATAAGATTACAGGGATTAAGAGACTTTTGAACCTAAAAAGAATGCACATATTAGGGAAATTACTACCTAAAATAAACAGCCTACTTTAATAACCAGTCTCCTAGTTTTATGATATTAAGGAAAAAAACACTTCACAGACATCTAGCTTAACACATGTCAGCCAGCTTCATTTACAAGTTCAAAATCCAGAGGTAGATAAAATATTAGTTTGGTTTGGAATACGCAAAGTGCCGATTTTTCGTATATTAATGCACTGAAGCACTTGACGCAATGTTATTATAGAAGGAAAAAATAGTTGCCAGAAGGGTTTATTTAAGGAATGGTTACTGCAAATAAAAACTTTCAACTAAAAAGGATTTTTAACATTGTTTTTTAATATGCTTTTAATGACCTCCACTCCTCATACCTACCTCCTTGCTTCCCAAACTGTTTGTACTGTCCCCAATAACACTCAGTGGAAAGCTGTCGTTCCTGGCTAAATCCTTACTTAGGTTGGATGCTATGCCTCCGTTAGACAGGGTCACAAGGTCACAATCGATTTTGGAGGCCACCTGGAGAGTCCAGGCCGTGAACTGACTCAAAAAATTTATATCAGAGCTGGAATGGTCCACCTCCCAGGGCTCAGCCTGCGCTAACACCCCAACCGCAGGATGGAGCCTGCCAGGCCCAGCTCAGAGAGAGGCCAGAGTTGTTGACCCCGTTAGCTGACCTCTTCAAACTTCAGGAGAATTTTTCTGGCAGTTACCACGGTGACTGGGCACTCCAAGCTTATCCTTCTTACTGAAAAAAAAAAAAAAAAAAAGACGAAAAATTAAGAAGAAAAAAAAAAAACGTTAAAACCTACCTTGTAGGGATGTCTATCAAGAATCAAACACGTAAAAGTTTTAATTGTTTGCTTCTCTCTTGGGCTGCTCTGGCTCTAACTGGTGCATCCAATGTGAACATCAAGAAAACAGTTTGGCTAAAAGCATTTCAACTTGAAGAAATAATGCTCAGTGGATTTAACGAGAAGCATTTATAATATCTGCTGGTGATCACAAGTGACACACTAAGAGGTTTATTGTGAAATAATGTTTATTTTTCTTTCTGTATCTTTCTCCAAATTGCTACCATTTTTCACTGAATTGAGAAAAAGCTGAGACAAGGTTCAGGGAAAGGATTCCATGCTGCCTTCTGGGTTTTTGCCTTCTAAAAACTATCTGCTTGGTGAAAAATTAAGTATGCAACAATTCATTGCTTTGGTCTCTCAGAAGAGATTGCATAACGTATTTAATGTAGCATGAAATATTATTTAAGAGAAAAAAGAAAAAAAAAACCCAAAAGTTGTCAGACATGGTTAGTGCTGTTTTTTTCAGGCACTTTGAACACTAATCACTTCACACATAAAATTTAGCAGGTAAGCAAGGTCTCGTGATGCTGACAGAAAACACTTGAAACACATCAAAGGATCACAGAGCGTGCTAAGTAAACAAGAAAACAAAGTGCACTCTTCATTTCTGGAAAAAAGAAGGGGAAAACTGGTGCTTCTTAATTTCAGGGCAATCACATATTACATACAAAGCTTTTATGTAAATTTTCCTCATGCTCCTCTACTTGAAATAGCATCTTGCAAAAGGGAGCACTGAAGAGTACACTGCATTATAGCTGGAAAAATCCTACTTAAGGGCTCCTGATGGCAAACTGTCAATCAGTATTCCCCGCTTGTTATGAACTGCTCATTTCTTGAGTACAGCTAAACAGAGGTTTAATGATTCAAACTTTAATGGCATTTTGTCTCACACATGGTTCTGAAGTATCTTCTGTTGTTTGAAGAGTTAAATATGGATATTCAAATTGCTGCTCAGCCACTGCTCTGCTCCTCCTGGGCTGCTCCCCTGGCAGTGCTGAGATGGCAGAGGGGACCGAGCTGCTGAGTCGCCTCTCCTGGAGGAGATCACACAGACCCTATGGATACAAAAATAAAACAGGCAGTTTGGGTGTGCAAAGCAAAAAGCACAGAACTGATCTTTTGTTCCAGACTTACTTTTCATTTCTGCTGGAAGGATGAGAAAAAGGCAGTCCAGTGTACGTGTGTTAGCTAACATTAAAAAAAAGTGAATGCAGTACAGGTCTCCTTCTCCTTTCAAAACTGGTTCAATTTCTTTGAAATATCATATGCCTCAATGCTAAATAGATACATAGACAATAATATTATTTAGCAATAGTGAATTAAACATGAAAACAATTTAAATTAAAAACACTTAAAGATTGTTTCCCTATTATTAAGGATGTGTTAGAAAAAGGTTAACCCTCTCATTAGGAGATGGATTTTTTAATTTTTATTTTTGTTACAGCTACACGTGATGTTTTTATACTTTCTCTTTTTTTCTCAGCATGAAATAATGTAAATTGAAGCAATCAGGTGACTGATCAATAGGCTAGTGGGAAGAAAAAAATGTTTGTTAAATTCTATTTCTTTTCTTTCTTTTTGAACAACACTGTATATATAAGCATGTGCCTTTCAATGAGATACCATGATTTATGAAGTCATGCTCAGGGCTAGCCAGGTTGTTGACTCAGATTAGACCTATGATGCCAGCTCATTCCCTGGTGACAAACACTGACTGTCCTTCCCGCAGCCAGGCACCCCTGGCAGCCTTATGAAAAGACCTTGTGGTTGGCACAGCACTGAGCAGGAAATGAGGTCCTCTCCGGTTCGGGACAGAGATGACTGGAGCTACAGAAAGCTGGAAAGCAAAATCAGCATCTCCTGAGTCACAGACTCTAAGCTCTGGTGGGCCTCGCAGTTCCCAGGGTGACCTGGCCACCGGCGCTGCCTCTCCCGCACCCCTGCCAGCCCCACCGAGCACAGGGAGCAGCCTGCACACTCTGGGGTGCCATGGCACGGGACTGCTTTCATGTGGGAGGGGGGACAGGGGGCACACCGCCCCCCAATGTGCCCATGTGCCCCAGCCTGGTGCTCAGCACCCTCCTCAGGGAATCCCTTTCTCCTGCATCCCTTCCAAAGAAATTTTTGGCACACTGTGTGGTGTTTTTCAATATCACAAGGCTTTTATGTAAGCCTATAGCTTGGGGATCTCTGTGTGGCCTACCCTCCTCCAGGAATTTCACATATAAATCACTGGAAAGCAGGAAATCCTTCAGTCCTGTAGGAAGCTGTTTACCACGTTTGCTTCAGCACAGAGAGCTGCAGACCACAGAGCATCTTGCCTTGTAGGTACCACTGCAACCTGGACCTGAAATAGGGGAACTTAGCCCCCTTCTTCTGGCATCTCTGAGCCAGAAAGTGAGCTCCTGGAATGGGGTTAGAAACTCCTGCTAAATTCATGGAGTAGAACTCCCTGATCTTTTCTGTGTAACACTTTCACTCCGAATTCCCTCAATGCCATTGAAACAATAATATTTAGACCATTTGGGGCTGAGATTATTGCTTTAATAAATTGGGTTTTTATTGGTTCATTGTGGCAAATAAGCCCCCGATTGATTTTGCTCCTAATCAGCATGGAGAATGCATTCCGCTGTAATTAAATCCCGTGTAACTGGGCACTCTGTGTTCGCTTGTCTCTTAGCTTGCAGTGGCATGAGCTACAGCACATCAAACGCTATCCCACCACGATAGGCACCCTGCCAGCCCGCGGAACGACGATGCTCGCCTTTAGCGTGCTCACAGCGCGTATGGCTGGAGCGCGTTCGGAGCAGCGGGCAGCGCTTGTGAGGCGTAGGAAACTTATGAGAGGAGGAAGATGGCCAGGGATAAGTCTTTTCTCTCGAGGAAGGTTTGACCCCCCTCTCTGCAAACACTGTGAGAGAGGCGGGGGCTGCTGAGCCGCCTGCTTTCCCCAGGTCCCCGCAGCCCCGGGCGGCTCCGTGCCGCTCCCGGGGGTCCGGCCGGGGCTCCCGGGGCAGCCGGGTCCCCTCGGGAGCGCGGCCGGGCCGCCAGGCGGGCAGTTTTGAAGAGTCGATCTTCATAATACAAATCCCCCGGCTTCGCCTCCCCGCCAGCGGCGCGAGCCAGCTTTTTAATTGAATCCCGGGGATTTGGCCGCAGCCGAGAGCCCCGGTTCGGGCCCCAGCGCCGTGGGTCCCCCCTCCCGAGAGCGGGACCGGCTCTTGAGGGCTGATCCCTCGCCTCTAAACCGAGGGAAGGGGGGGCTGCGGCGGCCTGGGGGAGCCCCCCGGCCCGGGCCCCCGGGAGGCAGAGCGGGGCTGGCTGCACCCCGGGGCCGGGGGCAGCTGGCGGGGCCGCGGCTGCTCCTGGCTGCTCCCGCCTCTCGCCCGGGCAGCGCTTTAGGGGGGGCTCAGGCTGGATCCTGCCCATTCTATACGTTAATGCTCTTTTCTCTCCGGCTGCAGGGAAGCAGGCCAGCGGATAATTACCCCTCACTGCAATCCGCAGAGCTGGCCTAATCCGAAAGCTCAAGTGCCCGTAAGTAAAACTTCAGGAAAAGTTATTGAAACTGACAAATACAGGGTGACAAATAATCAATAAAAGCCCAGTCCCACATCCTTTATTGTTTCCAGGCACTAACAGCAAGTAATGAAACCTCGGCGAGGACAGGGGAGGGAGCGGCAGAGACCGGGCGCTGGGCTGGCTCCTGGAAAGCCCCCACTAAAAGAAGCCCAGGGAAGAACCCGGCAGAATAAGGGGGACGATCCCGTCCCCATGAGAGAGAGGAAAATGCCACCCTCCTAAGCGCCCCCTCTTCCTCAAGCTCTCCGTGCTGCCCGGGGCCGGGGCGCTCCGGATGGGCGAGCCCGGGAGGCTCCTGCCCGGCCGGGAACTCCTGCCCGACCCCGCGGGCAGGGACGCTCCGGAGCCCGGTGCCACCCGCCAGCCTCGGGCCACGCACCTATTTAATGCACCCGCACAAAAAATCAGACTCCGTAATCTGCGTTCTGAAATCTTATAACATCCCTGAACACCCAACGCGCTCCTTCTCATTTGCATCTCGGCCCTGGATTTTCCACGCCACAGTTTCTAAAGTTTCAGCGAAGGACGCCGGGCAAGATAAATCCGTGCTGTCGTTTCTCTCCCTTTCTGTCTCTCCAAATTAAGTTTTGATCTATCAGTTTAAACACTGGCCAGAAAGTTGATTCACTTTCTGTTAGGATTTCGGGTTAAACCGAGGGCTCCTCCAGTGTCTTTAAGCTTTTGAGCTGTGTAAATGAACTGCAGTGTCACATAATCGATGGGGAAAACTCAGCTGTCACAGATACGAAAGCAGCCTCCTGCCACAGCAATAACGTGATTTGGCATTTCAAAGTTTGGAAACGTGCTGTCTGCGCGTCCGGGGCTCGGGGAGGAAGAGGGACGGGGGCGATGCGCCGGGGCGGGGGGGGACAGTCCCCAGCCTCGGTGGCCCCCGGCAGCCCCAAGTGCCGGCGCCCCGCACCGCGGCACCCGCTGCCGCTCCCTCCCTTCCCGACACACGCTGCGAAAGTTGTTTCCCAACTTTGGCGTTAGGGGAGGGTTGACCCAGAACAAATCTCAGTGTCTCGGTGGCCTTTCCAAAGCGGCCGTGCTCCCCCCGCCCCGAGCCTGCGGGACGTGCCCATCTGGAGCACGCACCGTGAGAGCAACTGTGCCGCGGACAGCCACAGCGGCCATCAGTCACTAAAAGCCACACGCTTCAGTGGACCGGGGATAAAACGAAGTCCTGGTGACGCCTGGTTAAACCACTGACCCTCTTGCGAGGGCTGGAGAAGGGGGGAAGGCGGCCTCCCCCCGGCAAACGTAGCTTTGGGGGGCTCGGCGCGGGGCTCCGCAGGGCCGTGCCCCCTCCCGGAGCTGGCGGCGCTGCCCAAATGGGGACTCAGCGCAGCCTTTTCGGGGTGCCCCACGCAGGGACGAGGGATGGATGGGGAGGGCCCCGGGCAGAGCCCCCGCCGCGGTCATGCCCCTGGGCGGCAGCGGCAGCTCCCGTGGGCACGGGGTTCCCACCGAAATGGTTCTTTTCATATGGGCTTGGGTGGAAACACCAACCCGTGGGCAGGGTGTGCACTAAGCCGCGGGGTAAACACTGCCCTCAGCCCCCTGTCCTACTGCAGACCCCGATTTACCCGACACATGCGCAGGAAAACAACTCACACAGCACGTTCAGATGCTTTCTGGAAGGGGACGGCTTTAGTTTCAAATTAGGAAGCTCTCTCAGATGAACGATAAACTCCGCTTTGGTCAGGCTATGGTGTTTGATCATATCTTTGTGGTTTTGTCCTCACCAAAAAGAGCCCCGGAGGCTCAGTTAAGAAACAGGATTTCAGCTAGTTTGATTTGACGTGAGGAAACTTTGCATTTGTAATATTATAAGACTCTGAAGGGGAAAAATGAAACCTCTGTAGCTGAGACAAGAAGTGTGCCTAAGTGCCACTATGTTTCAATCCCCATTCGGATATAATTTAAGTCTTCTCTGGCTTACAGTAATATGCTCTCCAACCTTGAGGCTATCCAAAAGGGGGGGATTTAATGAGGCCGAGTTGATACACTTATATAATTTAGGGGTTTCGCTATAGCTGTAAAATGACAATTGGTACATGTGTAGTGCAAAAGAGCTGAAATCCCATCCAGGGACCAAGTTGGTTATTTCTGAAGGAGCTGTCATTTCCAGCAGGGGGGCACAATGAGAAGGCCAGGAGCAATGGAGCTCTGATCTCCACCAAGGAGAGATAACCACCTGATTAAAATGGGGCTCTTGTTCCCTCGTTACTCGATCGTCGTGTGAACTTACCTTATTTACAATTACAGGCAATGAGTGAGTCGCCCAGATTGTAATACACCTATAGCTTTGGGTTTACTCCTCCCTTTGTTATCAAGACCATCTCTCGGACAGATTTCTGGACCACTCTTGGCATGTGAGCACAGAAAGGCTCTTAGGGAGGGAGGGATGTGTACGTTCCGAGCCCTGCAGTGCGGGCGCAGCGCGGTCACCCTCCCGCACGCCCCCGCT